AACGTAAGTTTTGCAAAATTAATCTGCCAGAGTAGAATTTTTCATTTGGAACAAACATTATTCCACTCAGGGTATATTATCTTCACAAATTTTAATATTCTTATGTGTATATTTTATAAAATATAAAAATCTCAAAATATTTTTATTAAATGAATTCGCCGCAATTATTTTTTTTGGCATCAGTGCTTACCAAATGCAAAAACAAATTACCTGAAAAATTTTGGTCAAGGCGAATTCCAATATGGTGGTGGCAGTTCTGCAACAACAACATTTTACATTATTTTTTTGCATTTTGGTTCACGTAGATGTCAAAAACCACAAGTACGTCGAATTTATTTCATGAAAATTTTATGTAGAATTTTTATATTTTATTAAAAAATAAAGATAAAGATATTAAAATTTGTGAAGAAAATATATTCTGAATTGAATAATGTTTGTTTCAAACGAAAAATTCTATTACGGCAGATTAATTTGCAAAATTTAATTGAGTGCCTGACGTAAAGTAAAACATTATTTTTTTGTGAAAAATAAACATAAAATAGTACATGTTCATGAAAAAATTATATTACGAGTGAATGGATCTTTGTTGCGAATGGATAATTTCACTCCGCCGGAGTAATTTTCAATATTTGGCCATAATGTAACAGTCGCCGGCTGGGTAAATACCTCATATGGATTTTTTGTTACATAAAGCGTTCCGGAACAGACTTTTTTTAGTTAATCTCTTTATTTACATTGTGTATATATAAAACACCATAGCTGTAAAATTTCGATTACGATTAATAATCAATTAAATTATTTTTGAAAAATAATCGTAATGATTATTTAATTCTCTGGTATAAAATTTCTGATTATTAATTGATTACTATTAAAATTAATCTAAAAATAATCAGAATTAATTAGAATTAATAAAAATAATAAAAAATAATCAGAATTAATCAAATAATTAATTTGATTATTTTCAAGGATTAATTTTGATTATTTTTGATTAATTTCAATATATTTGGTACAATTCTCTATCTTTTTACATTACGAAAACTGTTTTTCAAGCAAAGGTTTAAAATTGTTAAGCCTTAATTCAATTTTTTAAATCAAATGAAAATTTATTACTTCACCATTCTATAAAATCATTCATTCGAAATAATTCATAAGCTGAATTCCTTAGGACTTTAAAAATCTTGAATTCATTACTTGTATAATTCATTCTTTAAACGCTTAATTCCTTGCTGAATGATTTAAATTTTTTCGAATTCAAATCTATTACAAAATAGCTTTAATCGTTTTTTCTTCATTCATTTTGTAGGGGATTAATGAAAAATTTTTAAATAAAAATGTATATACATTAGGGGCTCTTTTGTTTTTAGTAATTTTATTTAGTATTTTACAAATAAAACTTTTTTATATTAATTTCAGCTAATTAAATATGATTTAACAAAAAACAAGCACTATATTATAGATGAAATTAAAGTAAAATAAATATAGCCCCTATTTAATTTTACATAATTGACAAATCTTATTCGAAACATATTATTTATAAAGTTTTTTAAACGATATTTTTGTGCGTCTTTTAATAATATTTTCCAAACATAATTTCCATTCGAAAAAAGTTTGAACATATACATACGTATAAACAGAATTATAAATATTTCAAATTTGAAATAAATTTTAAATTTCAAATTATTTTTCAAATTAAAGATTATTTTTCCAAAATAATTGCTATCATGAGTGAATTAGAATTTTCATCTGATATGTAAATCTTTATAAGAAACCAAATATAACAAATGATTATTATTTAAAAACTATTTCAAATTAAACATTTATTTGAACAATCCTAATATACACATGCTTTATTATTTGTCAAATAAATTATAATTTATTTGTTTGTAATTCAAATTTTCAAATGTACTATGTATTGGATATGGATGGAATGATAATGAAAACTTACAGAAATTCTGTTAAGCGGATAAATCCTTATGCTGCAGTAAATACAATAAAATACTTACATACTATGATTAATCAGAGTTCCTCTAAGTTAAAAAGTACATTATTCAGAAGGAAAATCTAGCACTATAAAAGGCGTTCATTGGCTGATTCTTTTGTGTTAGGGACCGATTCTGTTCTAAGGAAACATCAACGGACATGTTATGTTTTATGATCGTAAACTCATGGTCACATACTATGTATGTATGTTTGTTTGTATATTGTACATAAATGTTATGTATCTTTATTTGCAGCAATAATCTTATAACTTAAAAATAGAAAAATGTTCTTGTGCACAGAATTTGTGTTTATTATTAGTAAGAATTATCATTCTTATTATACAAACTTACAAATATCAGCTGTAAAATTAGTTATTTAAAACTTATACGCATACACTCTTTTATATAGAGATAAAAAACTTTAAATTTTAAAAACCTTTTAAGTTGAAATTTTAGTTTTTGAGATACAACACTCTGGCTGCAAACGAAAGCGTTTTCATTCAGTCTACTACAAATTGAATTGGAGTAGATTTGAATTAAAGAAAAATTGAATCATTCAAAGCAAAACGTAATTCAAACATGAATGAATTCAGTATATGAATGATTTAAAATAAACTGAAAGCCTTTGAATTAAGCTATTGAATTAATTCCTGAGAATTAAAATTGATTTGATTAATTCGAAGCTCTGTTTTCAAGTTACACACTATTCGATTACATGACTATTTTACTGAAAACAATATATTTACAATACAACATATTAGAAAAAAAAAAATACTGCAAAATATGTAATTTTTAGCGGTTTACTGGAAAAATAATTAAATTTTTCTTATAGTTTTTTTTTTGGTAGGAAATTATACTAAATATATGGAAAATAATCAAAATTAATCCTTGAAAATAATCGACTAATTTTTTGATTTATTAATTCCAATTAATCCCTGATTATTTTTAGATTATTTTTAATCGTAATCAATAATTAATTAAAAATATTTAAAATAATCGTTAATTAATCATTAATTTTACATTTTTAATAAAAATAATCTAATTAATAATGATTACGATTATTAATCATTATTTTACAGCTATGTAAAACACTACTGTTTAATTCGTTAACATTTAATATATTTCAAAATTAAGCCATAACGTAGAAATAAGCTGCCGCTGTCCGGCAAAATTCTTCTTTATTAAAGTGTTCCAAAAGAGATTTTTTTTTAGTTAACCACGTTATCTACACAATGTTAATATCAAATAATAAACAATATTGTTTAATATGTTAATATTTAATAGAAAAAATATTTCTCTTAAATAACATTTTTGTATACATACCAATTATGCCATTATTTAAATAAAATGATATTTGTTTATGATATGCATGGTAGTTTTAGATTTTTTACATAAATAGATCAAAATATTAACGAAGTTTTTCTCCGTTTAACGGAAATTTTTTTAATATAAAAATGTAAACAATAACAAACTTTGACAGCTACGTAAACCAGTACCTCGATTCTGTATTTTTCTCGAATCTAGAAAAAAATAAAATATAATAGTCTTCCAGTTTTTAACAGGGTGACTCTGATTATTTTTAAACTGTATTTATTAAAATTTAATAAGAAATGTTTGAAATCCTTTTATTCACCCTGTTTTACTCAAGATGATCATAAATTTTTCGACAGATTTTCTCGATCATCAGCTGATTGAATAACACCACCTTATCTGAATTCGCCTTGATTTTGTTGTTGCCGAACTGCCACCACCTTATCTGAATTCGCCTTGCTGTATACCATGATTTTTATCATGGTTATACCCAATAAGCAAAAACCTTTGAAGTGATGTAAATATGTATTTGATAACATATTCAAATTTCATACATAGCCTTTGAGAACAAATTTGAAATTTTATGTTTTCAAATAAAAAATTATGGCTTTCTCAAACAAAAAGGCAGTTAGAAATCAAACGTATTTTTCAAATGTATTTCAAATTTAAAAAAAAACTAAAAAATTTTTCAAACGTATTTCAAGTATCCTTTATTATTATTTTCATACATATTTCAAACCATAATTATAGTGCTAACTATTGCAAAATGTATGTATTTTTTTACATCACCTGAAAAGAAAAACATTCATACATTCATTTTAGCATATTTTTCTTTTATATCTCCGATTTTTCTCCTATATTTAGTGTTTTTTTTTTGCTCCCTTGCTGTAGAAAAAATGTTCTGTTTTTATTTTTCTAAAATAATTTAATTTTTGGAAGAAAATTTTCTAAGTTCAATTAAAACAAAACTTTGAAAATTTTATAAATATCACACATTATATTTTTTTAAAAACTAGATGAAATCATGTAGATTTCCCATACATTTTTTAAAAAATCCAAATCTACTTAATCTACTAGATTTGATTTAAAACATGTCGAAAATGCATTTTTTCGAACAAGATTTGCTTATGCAACACTGAGTTGTGTCTTGGATAAGCAAATACGACTATAGGCTATCCATTCAAATTGAATGTTTTCATCGAAAAAGTGATATTTTATTTAAAATAAAAAAAGAACAAATAATAATTTTTAAATTGTTGGCATTTTATAAATAAATTTATACAATTAAAAAGGTAAGTTTGTATTTTTAATGTTTAAATTAAAAAAAAAATATATTTTATTTTTGTAATATGACAGAATTTGTTCGAAAATTCGAATCTCAAAAACGAGTAAGCTCGAAGAGGTTTACGCAAATCTGGTAGATTTGAAGCCAATGGAAACATAGCATAAACATTAAAATTTGAAAACAGTTTGAAAAATACCTTATTTAGTTAAGAAAATTTTCAAAAATATTCACAGGTTTGAATCGATGTTTATTAGGTAATGTCATAAAAATCAGGCAGTTTTATTTTAGATTTCAAAAAATGGAATTGAATGGAATATAAATAATATACACAATTATCTCTTTCCTCAAGTATATTTCTTGTTCGTTGTTGTAGTAATATTAATTTTAAAATAAAAACGCAAAGTTTTCTTTTTTGTATTGTCTAGGATATATCAGAAATCATGAAGGAAGCTCAACTAAATGTTAGTAAAGGTTACATATTGCAGAAGATGGAAGAGAAACCTTCAACTGAAGAAGGAAAAGAAGTTGAACATTTTTATCAAAATATTGAATATCATCCATATAAGTTTTGTCAGCATGACGGACTACCAATTGCAGAATTTGAAACTTTTATGTTGGCAGTTGATGAATTTTATTCGACACTTGAGGGTCAAAAAATCGATATGAAAACACTGCAACAGGAGCGAGAGGCACTTAAAAAACTATCGAATGTAAAAAAAGATCACGCTAAACGTATTGAAGACCTAAACAAAGTGCAAGAAGGCGACAAGCAAAAAGCAGAGTTAATAACAATGAATCAGGGTCTTGTTGATAATGCCATACTGGCAATCCGATCCGCCATTGCAAATCAGATGTCATGGCCGGACATACACGAATTGGTAAAAGCAGCCCAAACAAATGGTGACCCAGTTGCTGGTGCCATTAAGCAATTGAAATTGGAAATCAATCATATTTCATTGAAATTAACTGATCCCTATGATGCTGGTACAGAAGGTATAGAAGATGACAATGAAATAGGTAACAATAGTAAACGCACGATGATAGTAGATGTAGACCTGGCCTTATCTGCTTGGGCTAATGCGCGAAAATACTATGATCAAAAGCGATCAGCAGCTCAAAAAGAGCAGAAAACAATTGATGCTTCACAAAAAGCGTTGAAATCAGCTGAGAGAAAAACGCAACAGACTCTTAAAGACGTCCGCACCATTTCAACAATTTCTAAAGCACGTAAGGTCTACTGGTTTGAAAAGTTTTATTGGTTTATTAGTTCTGAAAATTATCTTGTTATTGGCGGCAGAGATGCACAGCAAAATGAACTTATTGTTAAAAGGTGAATATTAATTTTTATAATTACTTTTATATGAATTTATGTACCTCTATTATTATATTTAATAGAGGTACATAAAAAAATAACAATATACGGACACCACTATGTATATGATAAAAGACCAAAAATAAGAAGACCCGGGTCTTCCAGTTTTGCCCAAAGTTATGCACTTTTTTAGTTATAGGCCCCCAAATATTCTCGGTTTCATTTTTGAAAAAAGTGATAATTTTCTCAGGCTCATATCTTGCAAAACGCTCGGAATTTTGATTTACTCTCTGCTCTTATCACAGATTCGGAATAGAAGAACTAGCTTTAACAGCTTTAAAAATTTTTCGAACACGAGTTGGAATTTTCGAAATTTTTTTAGTTTTTATGACAGAGATTAATTTAAAAACATAAAAAATTTTTCGAAAATAACTTCGAATTTTTGAACTTAATTTCAAATATTCGAACATATTGTTGTATTGTCATCAGATGTACTTATGACTGATAGTAGAAAGTTTCTTTTTTTTTCAAATTTTACTCTAGTTGACCCTTTTTGTAATAATTTCATTCACATTTATAAGACTGCAATTCTCTTCCGAAGGAGCCTAAGAATCTTCCAATCAGTGTTGGTTAAGAATGTTATTTCCGGAATAACATCACTTCCAAGATACTTGAATCTAACTTCGACGAATGCATGACAGTGGCAAAGAAAGCGCTCCAGAGTTTCACTGTCCTCTCCACATGCTCTACATTCGTCTGAATCCGCACGTCCAATTTTGTATAGATGTGCACGTAATCCTGTGTGTCCACTCAGAATACGTACCATCATACTAACTTCAGACTTGCTCATTTTGTGGAGACTTCTCGTCTTGTTCTCATCAGGGTCAGCCCATAGGATCTTTGTGGTTTTACCCACCGTTTTATTATTCCAAGATGCCTTATGGGATTCTCTCACCCATATTTTTAATATAGCTTTTGTTGCGTCGAATGGTTTTGCATTTATCAGGTTAACTGCCTCGAGCTCCCTTCCCTTTAAAGCTTTCTTACAATCCAATACGGCCTTAGATTTAATTATATCACCTGATATCGCCCTAGTTGCCTTCTGGCTGCCGGCAAATGAGCGCCGGATGTGGTCGCCATATTTATTATAATCCAATTTAAGCATTCCCTTATTGCTTGGACTTCTGCCTGGAAGCTTGTGTTATGATTAGGTAATCGTCCACCTTGTCCCCCAATTTGGATCCATCCGTGTAACAATGGATTCCTACTAGTATTTGCTCTAGTGTTCCGCTTGACAAAGACATTCTATCTGGGATCAGCGGTACAAAGTTTCCGACATATTCTGTGTCTGATATGCGATCAGGCACGTCCGATGATTGTGTATAACCTTCCAATGTGTCCAGTATACATTAATGACGCTTTTGGTCAGTGCGCCTAAAGTAAAGAGCAGTTCGGCTGTAAGCGCCGCCTCATATCTTAAATATGTTTCAATGGGTGGAATATTTTGCAACGTTTCCAGAGCCTTCGTTGAAGTAGTACACATGGCACCACTTATACCCAAGCAGCATGTACGCTGAACTCGCTGTAGTAGTTTAATATTACACTTTTTGTTCAAAGCAGTCCACTAGATTATTGAAGCATAATCTAGAATTGGTCTAATTACACTTTTATAAAGCCAATTTGTCATAATAGGACTAAGACCCCTTTTCATGCCTGTAGTTCTCCTACATATCGCCCAGCACCGATGTGCCTTGTTGATCCTATCCTCTAATGGCAGAGTTCATATAAGCAAAACGCCATGATATCCCACGTTGGTTTAAAGGAAATCCTCCAAGTCGGCCTATATTTTCATATATCTTGAGTTATCGATGGTACTTCAGCAGTAAGTTGAAGATTTTAAATGGCCTCCACCAGGGTAAAAGCTCTCCAAGTGTTAAATGGTTTCCACCACCCCGTTGAGTTTAACTGGATTCCACCAGGGTAAAAGCACTCCAAGTATTGAATGGTTTCCACCAGGGTATAAACTGGTATAGCTGGTTTCAGTATTCTTTGGCTTGTCACTCGGTACATCCGAGCTTGGTTGCAGATTATAGAATATAATATATGGTTGTAGATTACATAACATAACAGAGCATCAAATTTTGGTACAAGACATTTTTTAACAAAATGTCATGTGGAATAGTAGTTTGGATTGCAAAGTATCAAAGGCCAATACTTGATATGTGAGCTACCAAAATACTTATAAGATTCTGATAGTTATAGGTTAGTGGGACAGTAATATACCGGACTATTGCTGGGTTTGCGAAGATGAGGATAAGGTAGATACGATCGAACATATAATATACCTCTGTCCTAAGATACACAATCTCAAGATGGGGAATAGGTTCCATGACGAACTGGGTGATATTGGGGGACTTAACCCTCGCAGTCTACTAGGTTTTATCAAAGGGTACATACATTTTCTCTCTCTTATTTCTTTCTTTTGTTTACTGACATGGTAAATGTTGTGGTTTTATTGGATTTATTTGCCCCTATTCTTCATTTCAATGGGAATCGAAATTTTCTCCGTTTGGCAACTTTGGTATTCTGCATCTAAAATCGATATTTTTATGATCTTTTTTATGAAATTTAAAAAGAGAAATTGTAGGAAATTAAGCACTCTCGCTCACTTAAATAGGTTCACTGTTTCCTTTACATTCAAATAAATTTTTTGAAAAAAATAATGGACTAATTGGTTATATTAAAATTTTAATTAATACCATGATCTCTTATATATCACTAGATAGACAAACATTAGTGCAATACTTAATAACCGATTTTTACTACTTTTTTTCTAAAATACTGCGTTTTTGAACCATACTTTTTTGGCTCATCTGAATAGGTTCATCATCTTTAATTGACAAAAACAACAACAAATTGCATTTTTCATGAAACTTTTTTTATTTTTATAAACATTTTTACAAGGTTTTATTTAGAAAAGGTTTAGTAAGTAACAGATCCGCCGTTACTTGATATAATTCCGAAAATTCAAGGTTATAAGAGTTATAAAGATTCCTAAGTAATGGCAAGGAAATTTCGGTCCAAGCCTTTTTAGTTCCTTCAATTTAGGCTTCTTTTGTGTCACACTGTTTGCCCGACCTATACACATTACGAGAAAGAATATCCGAAGCCTTTTCAATAATAAATTACTAGATGAAAGAAAATTGAAGCTCATTGAAAGAAATTGAAGCTCACATTTTTCATAATACGAAATTGCCCCCACTACATCCCACATCCTCCACAGCTATGCAGACGACTCTGGTAGAGCTCTTTCTTTCAAAAATCATAAAAATAATGATTCTATCGATCTGGATCTTCTAAATTCATCCGAAAAAAACAAGATGTTCATATTTTTTTTATAACCATGTGTTCACGTGCAAACTGAAGAGGTTTTCTCTTTACGAGTGGCAATTGGAGTGGCTTTTATTAATTTTTTAATATTTTTAAAGCCTTGGCCCTTCTTACAATTCATTTCACTGTAGCTAGGCTTGGTGTAACACCCACTTTTTCTTTAATTTTTGCTGTTGAATCACTTGACCTGGAGAAAGTGAAATCTCTTCTGTCCGCTTTTGTTATGACTCTATATGTAGTTCCATTTATGTTTTCTTAATATTCAGACTGTTTTCTTATAAAATTGCGAATAACATTCTGAATTTGCCTATTTTTTTTGCTAAATTTCTGTGATTGTGGACAGTTTCCAAAAACGCTTGAATTTTGTCATTTTATTCTTTAGTTAATGGCTTACCGCGACCTATTTTTTAAAAAATATATTGTCTATATTCACATACACTAGAATATGAATGGATTTTACCCACTGCCAGCAGTAAACTGATTTTATTCTGAATGAACCTAATCAAGTGAGCCAAAAATATAGCTAAAAGACGTAGTAGCTATTAGGTATTGTGCTAATTTTTGTCTTACTAGTGATACCTAAGACATTATGTTATTATTTAAAATTTCAATATTACTAATAAGTCCATTATTTTTGCAAATAATTTATATGAACGTAAACAGAAAAGTGAACCTATTTAAGTGAGCGTTGAGGTTGATAGGAGGATGTATCTACATCAAATTCGAACCATACATGGGAATTTTTCATTAAGCATTAAAATTTCATTACCATTTATAGAAAAAATTGTAATGAAAAATATTTTAAGTACCATTTAATGAAAATTATATTTTTTTCATTACAACTTTTTTTGATAATGGTAATGAATTTGATAATGAATTTTCAAAACGAATTTAATTAGTATTTATAATTGTCGAAAAATATATTAAGGAATATTTTTCGAAGATTCGAGGTTTGAAATTTAGCCGTCATAAGTACATCTAATGACAATACAATAATATGTTCGAATATTCGAAATTAAGTTCGAAAATTCGAAGTTATTTTCGAAAAATTTTTATGTTTTTAAATTAATCTCTGTGTCATAAAAACTAAAAAAAAATTTTCGAAAATTCAAATTCGTGTTCGTAAATTTTTTAATGCTGTTAAAACCAGTTCTTCTAGTGCGAATGGGCTGAAAATTGGCATGCATGATTTCACCTAATGACAATACATTATAATGTTCGGATATTCGAAATTAATTTCGAAAATCGAACTAATATTCGAAAATTTTTAAAATCCAATAAATAATGGTAATGAAAATTTCTTTTTAAATAATTACTAATGAAATCGTTCCATTAAAAAGCATTACCATTAGACAAAATAATGCTAATGAAAAAAATAATAATTATAATTTTTTTCAATTTAATGCTAATGAAATCGTCAATTAATTAGTCGATATAATTAACTACTCCCATGTATGATTCGAACCTAGGCCACTATCGTGCCTGTGGTGCGCCCCTTTTCATGGAAATTTTTGTTGGTAAAAATCAAGGTTGGCAACCATTTCGAAACGGTGATAAGTTAGCGGTATCGGCATTTTGACTTATTTCGGTATTAGTATTTTAGCGTTATCGGTATTTTGGCTTATTTC